ACTTTTTCACACCACTGTATATATATATATATATATATATATAAAATTTATAGATTTTCATATCTTTAATATACACTTATTTAAAAGTTTGGGGTCAGTAAGATTTTATATTTGAAAGACATTAATAATTTTATTCAGCAATGATGTGTTAAATTGAGCAAAAGTACTAAATATTTCTATTTCAAATAAATGTTGTTCTTTTTTAAAATCAAAGAATTCTAAAACAAAGTATCATGTTTTCCACAAAAATATGAAGCAGCTCAACTGTTTTCAACATTGATAACAATAATAAATGTTTCTTGAGCAGCAAGTCAGCATATTAGAATGATTTCTGAAAGATCATGTGACACTAAAGACTGGAGTAATGATGCTGAAAATTCAACTTTGCATCACAGAAATAAATGACATTTCAAAAAATATATATTCAAATTGAAGAGTTAGTTTAAATTGTTAAAAAAATACTGTTTTTATTGTATTGTTATTAATAATGTATTTTACATTTAAAAATCTTACAGAAACCTTAAAAAATTTAAATATGAAATTTCTCAGCCTTTTGCTGTTTGGCAAACCAGTTAACCAGGAATCATATTTACATTTGATAAAACGTGTTGGCGCATTTTTTATTAATTTCATTCAAAAAAATTTCTGATTCCATGAAATGCATTTTTCTTTCCATTTTTATGACGTTATTTCTGAGATCTGCATAACATAAGTTATAGGATCTTATGTATGCAATGTAAGGGAATGAGGACTAAGGCTGTCAAACAAAAGGTCATATTATAACTTGTCTTTGGACTAGGTTACAGAGTTTCATGCCCTTTTTGAAGATTGGCAACCCCTGGTCACCGGATGGTTTCACGGTATAGAAAACAGCAGTGTGAACATTCAGTTTGGATGGACATAAAGGTGCGAATATGATGACAGAACTGCCATTTTTTGGTGAACCAGTCCCTTTAAGACTGATCTAGTATGGACAGTTTAACCTACTTGGGCTCAGACACTAGGGAAAGGACACATTTCCGCTGAGGTCCAACATTCGTCCAGTTCTTTGCCAGAGTCACTATGGCCCCAGCATCCAGCAGACCATATCCATAAGAATGGCTGACTGTAGGAGAGAGAGAGAAAAATCAATACTGTTGAAAGTAACTTTAGAACCAGTTTAAAAAGGCAATAAAAAGACTGACATTATAAGTAAAGAGGTGAATTAAAGAGGTTGATATCTTTAAAAGATCCGAAGCGGTTTGCAGACTGGTACAGTCAATGATAATGTTATTGATCGAATCACAGAACGTTCAAGTAGCTGGAAAGTGGAAAGACAAGCCAGAGCGAAAGGAAAGGGGAGGGAGTGATGAAAAGCAAGGAGATGGGCTTTTACCTCTGCGACCCACTCCATTTGTCTTCCAGTCATTGGTGGTGAGGTGGGCAGGGTTGGACGTCCTCACAACCAGATGCTGCATGTCTCTCCAGGTCAAGTTTTTACTATGGAGAGAAGTGTTAGTGCCTTTCAAATGCGCGAGCTACTTGGTGGAATGAAACACAAACTGCTTGCATGCTTTCCCTAAGATAATCTCTCCTGCCCTTTTGTAAAGGTCACGGATAGCTACAGGTAGAGTCATAAAGGTTATATTGTTGCCGGTGAATTAATTTAAAACGATGCAAACGTAAATGTCTCTCAATGCATGTGTTTGATCCAAATGAGAACTTGAAGGTTAATTCTAGTCCGCCAATCTAGCCGGCAACCATTTTATTTTTGTTTCGAAAGCCTCGGGTCACTCAAATCGCTGATAAAGAAAGATGACCTCGCTTGAGGACAGGACAAACCACGCTTCGGACGACTTACTTGGCCTCAAGGGCGAGGGCGATTATTCCTGCCGCCAGAGGGGCCGAGGCAGAAGTGCCTGTGTGGGAGTCTGTGCACTTCTGCCTGAGGTCTGTAGTGACCTGAAACAGGAAGCAGAGAGAGAAAATCATCACATCACTGATATGACGGGAAAATCCAATTATTCCAGATGGGAACACAATACCAACATTGTACTGATATGACAATGAAGTCACTCACAAAAGATGATAAAAGCTTAAAGAGGTCTTGAAATGCATTATATTTTTATTATTTCAGAATGTTTCCTGAGGCCAGGGATCCTACACATTTTCCATTTCAAAATTCCATACTTTTTCAGCCTCAAATTTCCAGATTTCCCTGTCCCCCGAGTTTTCAGACCATATTTCATAGTGAAAAACAAATTGAGCTTGTAATGATTTCAGAGACGTGCTGAAATCGCGTTTGGTCTCGTACTGTATCGCTTTTGTTTTTATTTAAATGTTTTAGTTTTGAAATGTTGTTGTATGCATTTGTCATTTTTATTTAATTTCTTTTATTTTCTTAAATGTGTATATATATAGTATTTATAGAGTTTTAGCTTTTAGTTTTAATTACTTTTTCTTATTTGTAAGTCGCTTTGGATAAAAGCGTCTGCTAAATGACTAAAAGTAAAGTAAAAGTAAGTAAAGGTTCAAATTCACAATATTGAATTCACAATCTGATACTCTCACACTACTACAAATATTGTTGTCACAGTACCAACATTTTAGTAGTCCGTACCAATACCAGTAAAATCTCACGGTTCTTTGTACCATAGCAAAAACTACTGGAACTATTTAACTATTTGAAAAAAAATAAAAATAAATAATAATAATAATAAACAATACATTAACACAGCATGCAGATTTAAATAAACCTTTTTTAATTATGTAAACATAGCTTTAAAAAGGTCAAGTGAAATGTTAGTAATAAAATGAAGAACAAAGAAACTCGTTATCTAGAACACGTCTGTTAGTCTGCATTTACACTCCAAGATCAATTTTGACATCAGATTTATTTTTATTTTTTTTGTATCATCTGTTTTTATGGTTATCAGTGTGCCAATAATCACAATTTTGGATTCAGCCTTGCATTTAAATATTTTGCACTCTTGTGAAAACTCCCTTTGTAATCAGGGATTCTCTCTACATAGCACAGTGAATCTCTTAAATCTCTAAATTGTCTTTACATTTTGTTGGTTAAAATGAAAGGATTCATTAACGCGTGCACAACTCTGAAGCACACTGAATAAAAAACCTGCTTTTCAAGCGGTATGGAGTGGATTCTCACTAACTTAGACATGTTTATTGAGCATGTGAATGCAATGGCCAGTCAGATGTGTTTGTGATTGGCTAATGCAGGGGGGGTCCAAACTCGGTCCTGGAGGGCTACTGTCCTGCAGGGTTCAGCTCCAACTTGCCTCAACACACCTTCCTGGAAGCTTATAGCAAAGCCACTTAGAAGGCAAGCCTGCAACCTTTAGCCAAAAAAGCGTAACGGCTAATGCTAACGCTTCGGCAGTATGTGGGAAAGGAGACCAGATGCTGTTTTTTTTAATGGATGTCAATGAAGGAGAGGCTTCACTACGCAGAATAAACAGCTTTTTAGAGGAACCAGCTTATCATTTAATGAATCGACAGCCTATCAGCTAATCTCCATCATGTTTTACACTAAGCAATACTTTTGGATTGAACTATTTTTAGAGTTTGCACCAAAAAAATGCTGTTTTTTTAAGAGAAGTCACTGACTTTTTGCAACAGGTGGGATACAGCTTACGACATTTCTCATTCATTCCTATGGGATCCGTAAAAGGCGATTGAGTGTCGCACAACTCTGACTGAAATTCAATGACGTCAAGGCTGTAATGTGATTGGTTATTAAGGCACACGTGATCCAAGTTGACCGTTACGCTTTCTCCAATAGTAAGTAATACAGACCCTCTCATCTCCCTATAGTAAGACAATCTCTGCTTACACTCTTAAAAATAAAGGTGCTTTAAAAGGTTCTTCACAGCGATGCCATAGAAGAACCATTTTTGGTTCTACAAAGAACCATTCAGTCAAAGGTTTTTTAAAGAACCATCTCTTTCTTACCTTTTTATAATCTGAAGAACCTTCTTTTGCCACAAAGCACCTTTTGTGAAGCAGAAAGGTTCTTCAGATGTTAAAGGTTCTTTATGGAACCATTTAGACAAAAAGGTTCTTCTATGGCATCGTGAAGCACCTTTATTTTTAAGAGTGTATAGGACAGAGAGTAACAGAGGTGCACTCGAAAATCTTTTTTGGGAACACGGTCCAGCTTTACAGAGGATGATTCTATATTATATTAATGTTCCACTAAATTAATCTGAAGAGTTTTGAGTGCTCTCTCCCCTCCTTTCAGATGTTAAAGGTTCTTTATGGAACCATTTAGACAAAAAGGTTCTTCTATGGCATCGTGAAGCACCTTTATTTTTAAGAGTGTATAGTACGCTAGTAAGACCTTGATTAGCTTGTTCAGGTGTGTTTGATTGGGGTTGGAGCTAAACTCTGCAGGACACCACTTCAAACAATCAAGCCTGAATGAAGAAAAGTTCGATTTGAATGTTTGTTTGAATTAGCACAGGGCAGTGGTGACACCTGATCATAAATATTCATAATTCTGCTTATTGTTTGTGAAAACCATAATGCATTTATCAAGATCAGTTAAAAAACAGTTAAAAAAGAAGTTAAAAAACAATTTATTTGAAATATAAATCTCATGTAACATTATAAAGTACTGTCTCTTTTTAGCAGTTTACTTTGATACAGTCTCCACAAAAATATTAAGCAGCAAAAGCTGTTTTCAACATTGATAAGAAGAAATATTTCTCAAACATTAAATTAGCATATTACAATGATTTCTGAAGGATCATGTGACACTGAAGATGCCAAATACTCTTTTGGAATGTATTAACAGTTATATATTTTTTCTACATATTTCTAAATATTTTGTATGAAAAAATGCAGCCTGGGTGAACATAATTATATATTAAATAAATACCTTAACTACCAGTCAAATAATTAAATGTTATTATTTGATCAGTAGTGTATGTGTCAAACGATAAGGGAAATTTTGATTTCTCAATTCATGATTAATAATCTCACTAATCGTGTCTAGCATTGCTATTATTATTTGTTGATACTCACAATCAAGAATTCAAACAAGACCGTTACACTAAATTGTATGTTACATAAAATTTTGACGTGCAACTAGTACCTCACTCACCATTTGTGCTACAGATATAACTGATACCTTAAATCAAGAGAGTTGCTGAGGAGCGGCGTGCTATTACTTTTCAAACTGATATGACTGATCAAACTGATCCTCTCAATGGTTTTTCAGGGGAATTTGGAGGAGAAAAAAAATTTGTCTGGGGACAAGGATTTCATAGAGACTTGGGAATTGAGCTCTTTCCACTTGGGCCAGTAGGCAACCACCCAGTACTTCCTAGCAACTGCATATCAATGCCTTGGCAACAAGTCTTGCATCAGCATCTGCATGGGCAAACACCTCTTCACATATTCTTCAGGAAAATATAAAACCCCCGTAAAACTGTCATTCAGCTTCTGCCCGTTAAGTGACCCAGGTGTTTGACATTTTCGATATTGCGCAGCACCTTTAAGCCCTTAGGGTCACACAGACAGAGTCGGCACATTTCAAGACAAATGCAAACATTAAAGGGTTGATGGGTGACACTTAAAAAGCCAGGCATTGCAGGATGTGCAGTGACTGCGACAGACCTCCTTGTGTGAGACTAATTGCTAAAAATGGCACAGAGGCTGAATGACAGGAGCGATGACAGGAGAATTCAGCAATTGCACACTTAAAAATGGATCTTGGGAGACCCCAGGAGAGGAACATTGCCTGACAGAGTCTCTGCAGCACAGGAAACAGCAGGTATCAAGCCTTTAAAAGCACACCTCCATTGTGAACGCTAGTGTCTGTGTCTTGAATGCGGGACAATAGATGAGTCAGTCAGGCATAGTCGGTTATGAGAACAATGCTTGGGTGTGCGCCTCGGTCGGCACAGAGCCGGGTAAAGAAACAAAACCGAACGAGAGCAAAGAAAATGTCATGCTATGACAGTGAGGAGTTGCTGTTTTGAATCATAGGGATATTTGTGCTTTGAAACTTGAGTAAAGAACTAGAAAAGGTAGTTGATCTTGCAAATATCAGCATCACAATGCCAGGGTGTTGCCAGGGCGTTGCTATGTGCTTGCTAAGATGATCTGAGTGGTTCTTAGAGCACTAATATCCAGTTGCTTGAGTGGTCTTGGGCCAGATTCACAAAATGATATGTTTTGAATAGAATGTTCAGAATAAAATTCTTCCTAACTACTACTTTCATCTATTTTCTAACTTAAGAATATTTTGTATTCCCAAAACATCTAACTTAAGAATATTTTGTATTCCCAAAACATTTAAGAATGTTTTTATCTTTTTTTTTCTTCTTAAGATGGTTCCAAAGACAAAACCTAAGAATTAGAATTCCTAAAAAGAATGTTCTTAAAAATCATTGTAAATAATAGGGTGATGTCACGAGTCAGCTCCTTACAATATACTGTTTACATGATACAATATTTTCACGATACGGTAAGTATTTTTAAGGCATATGACAAAGAGTCCCCAAAAGGGAGTTCATTAAGCAGAAAAGAGATATTCCCATTTTAACTCTTCCAAGATAAAAATACAGAATTATGTTATGTTAGACATTACATACTGTCACACATTGTTCCATTTTTGTATTGCAATATATTGCGACAATATTGTTGCAGCCCTAGTAAATAACTCTATAAAAATGAGTCAAATAAGGATCTTGTTTTTATTTTATAATTGGCACATTATTTTTGAAACATGACCCCGAGTGCTGAGCTCCCGCCAAGCCAGTCGCGCCGAAACAGAATGAACTTATTATGATTATCACTGTAATCAGCAGGTAGCAGAAAATTATGCCATTTGAGGTGCTTTTCATTGAGTTGATGAGTGAGTCTTCGGCAAGGAGAACCACCATACAATCAGAAACCACCACAAAGTCTACCAAGAAAATATTTGAGAACATTCTTACGAACCTTTAAGAATTTATTTATTAAATTTCTTAACTTCTTAAGAAAATGTTGTGAATTTGGCCCCTGGGTGGTTACCTACCACTTTAAAATCTGTCCTTCAATGTCTTTCACCCATTTTATCATCAGCCAGGCCAAAATTGTAAGTCAGATCACTTAGTAATAGCACACCTCCCCTCAACAAGCTGCATAATTTGATTTACACAAAAGAGATGCTGTAGCTTTTATGGCTTGTCGCTTTGTCTTGTTAGGACACGTTGTAATACTCGGGGCTGGGGTTTGTTGAAATCCCCAAGCACAAGTGTATGCAATAAAAATAGTGATGCTTGACTTAACAAACATCATTAATATTCGCAAACACAAAATAATAAAATATAAAACATACAACCAAGCCATGCGTGATAGTGAGAAGCTATGGTTTGCAATCACAAGAACATCCGTGTTTCTGAAGCTTTAAACAGGGCCATAAAGACAAAAACATCTGTCATCCTTCTCACTAGTGACCGCAGTATTCACTGACAGCCAAAAAGCCTTTAAAGCCGCTGCAACAATTCTTCATAAATTGGCTTGGCAGTCTATCTTCTGATCTCCAACTGGTTTCAGATTCTTTATTTTTGGATTAGATTTGCTACGCCACTTCTTCAATTAAAGGATAACTGTTGCTGATTTTCTGGAGGCAGAGAAAGAGAGAGAAAGAGACTCACAATCTGTTTCTCATTGAGGCCTCCACTGCTGTAGGTTGTGGCGAGGGTGGACGAACAGGCCTCGCTGTACCAGGGCACGTTGCCGTTCTGCGTGCTGCTGCTGATCGACAGCGTGTAGATGCTATTGGTGTAGCCGTCGCAGTTGCAGCTGTCCTTCTCTCGGCCGCCATTCCCCGAAGCCCACACAAAGATGGAGCCCCGTCCTCCGCGGCCCTAGAATTCGGGAGAAGAAACACACAGTCAGTCAAAATTGCTGGCATCTCTGTTCATGCAAGCCCAATCTAATGCCGTTAAGACGTTGAGAGCCAGATGCGAGCGCTGTGCTGCAAAGTCTGAAATGGGAGAATTACCAATGACAGTACTCAAAACAACTGGATAATATTTGTTATGAGTGGAGTTTGGAAAGGATTGTCTCCCAGAAAGGATTTTCAAAGTGTCATGGACTATTGAAGCACTATCATGGTTTCAATTGCTGGGCCAGATGCTTTTAAAAGGACCTTGTGGGATGGCGCTAATGTTCGCAAGTCATTAATCATGCATGTTTATTTTCAGGCACAAATGAAAGACGCAAACAGCACCGGGATTTTGCGGTCTACTTCGCAGATGAAGCGCAGTAAAGCAATAGCAAACTGTCAGAACCGATAATGAACTCGTGAAAAATACACGCATCGCATTAACGAGGCATGTTTGAATAACCGCGTGACTTTCGTTTCACCATGTCGCCATAAGGAAAGGCTAACAGTGCAAATAATTTGAGTCAGATGCTGTTTGCTTGTTACATTTGATCGTTGCTTTTTTATACGGTGCTTTACTGTATCTTACAAATTTGAACAATGCACCAAATAAAAGTCTGCAGGAGAAAATAGCGTACTGAGAAAGTCTGCAGTGCAAAGTTTGGCTGCGTCTTTGAGAGTTCGCTCTCTGTTACAGCACACACCTGCTTGATTGTGGGCATCTATTCAGCGAGGTTGTTTACACAGACCACAGCCCCATTTGCATTGGCCTTCTCCACGCAACATGGATCTTGTTTCCCAAACAAATCTGACTGCTGGCACGTGTGAACGCTCATGATTTGGACACCAGAAACAATGGCTAGAAAATATGGATAGGGAAAAATACAAAGCTAGTCTGTGTAATCAGTTCAAGTTTATTTTTTATTTTTTGGTCCTTGTCACTTATTTATAGGAACAGTGACAGGGAAATTCTTACTGCTCTCACCATCTGTTCTTTTAAAAGAACAACCCAACATAATTCAGTAATTTTAATGTGATCACTCATATTTGGAACCAATTATGCACAAAGCATCTATGCTACAGATCTATGCACCAATGCTATGCATCTATGCTGTGCTATGGCATAAAAAAGTCATAAAAAGTAGTATTAAGTCACCTAACATCTACTTAAAACATTATAATTACTGGTTACTGCAAAAGCATAAATAAATACCTATTATTATTAGTGCTGTCAAACGATTAATCGCGATTAATCGCATTCAAAATAAAAGTTTTTGTTTACATATGTGTGTGTGTACTGTGTATATTTATTATGTATACAAACACATGCATGTATATATTTAAGAAAAATATGTAGTGTTTATATATTAAATATATGTATGTATAATATAAAAGATAAGAATATAAATATATAAATGTATATACATGTAAATATATATATATATATATATATATATATA